TAGTGTGTAGGCGTCTAATGCATGCTACAGGATTTTGGAAGGGAAATTTTTCGCAAAGTTGGCCTCACATATATGGAGTGGGTGTATATTGTTTTAATATGGGGCTAGTTTTTTATTTTTTATCTTATTTCTTAGCTCAGGAATGAGGTATGCGTGTTGGTTGTGTCTCGTAACTGATGGTATATTTTAAATGCGGGCTGCAATGTGAGGAGCTTAGGATCTGTGTCTTTGCAGATAGAAGTAGGTATATTACTTCGAGTGTTAAGACACTAGTGGTCACCTTTTAATTAGAATAGCTGCAAAAATAAGTAATTTTTTTACCCTTTCAATGAAGCACAAAGGTGTGTGTGCGCACACAACATGTATCCTTGATGAATGAATAAGAGTTCACATAACTAATACTTCTACATGCCATCATGGGTCAGGGCTAATGTTGCCATAGGAACGATAATACTGAAAATTCAGTGGTGTATGATTATAAGCTAAGATTTATTTTTTTGCTTTGTTTTTATTTTCAGAAATACTAAGGAAAACTATATTTTTATTTAATGCAAAAAAATAATTATGCCAAAGAAAAATTACCATGTATATCTGTTTTCTTAGCATGCAAATGTATCTGTTGAGGGAGGAAAAAAGAAAGGTGCTGTATGTGCAAGCTGCATGTGGGAGTGAAATATGTTCTCCATCTAGTGCTTAGTGTCATCGCGCTATCAATGGATGAATGATTTCCAGCACAAGACTCGGTGCTTTTACTGTATTCATTTATCTAGGATGTTTAACGTCCACTAGCATCAGAAGGCAGAAGGCTGGGCAAACATCCTCTCATAGGGAGCTCATGAGAGGACAGCAGTGAGATCTCATTTTGATGGGAGAAACTCAGGTGACTAATTTACAAAATATTTGCTTAAATGTTTCATTTTTATGTAGGGATCTTCTTACTTCTGAGCAGGTGTCATGTGAACGTAAGCCAGGCTGCTATAGATCTTAGCAGAGCATAGGCAGTAGTCACTGCAGTCTCTTAATTTGTTTTATAAAAAAAAATTCTGAACTAAACTATGAGATTCCTGCATACCAGCTCTTGCTGGTGTATGAAAAGGAAACTTTTTTCCATTTCCACTATTATTTTTTAAAGACGATTTGAGGGAGGATGGCACCTTTTAATGAGGAAGTCTACCGAATTCTTCTCCATCTTTGTCCTCATTAAGTGATTTTAAGGCTTTTAGCCTTTGTGTAAAAGATGTTTTGTGGATTGTTTCAGTAGGCACCAGTAGTGCCCTCTGACAGAGGTAATCTGCATGGCCTTTATTAACTTGTGGTCATGGAAGGAGACCCCTGGCCCTGTTTGGGAAGGCAGAGGCCTTTGTGGAAAGGCAGAGGTGGTGTTGCTGTGGTTTGGAGCTGAGTTTCTGAGGTGGTCAGTCAATACATGTATGTGCTTTACAAAAGGAGCTAGATTTAACATGTATTTAGTGGACTACAACAATGACAATAGTCTTGGCTGAAACAGGTGCCACTAGTGCTGTGGAGAACCAGTCACTTGCTTTCCTCTGAGGCTCAGTCTTTCCCAGGAAGCGGGAATGGTTCTTCTGATAGTGAGTGCTGTCCTAGATGCTGTTTTACAGGGATTTTGCATCTATCCAGAAGACAGTTCTTTATCACTTATCTCTCTCCTTGTTTTTTTTCCTTTTTTTTCTTTTCCTCCCCCCCACCCCCACCCCACCCTGAAGCCATGCCTAGATGCCTCTAAAATTTTGAGCTTGTTATGGTGCTGAAGGACTGCTGAGCCATCGCCTTGCCTGATTCCAGCCCTATGTTTTGCGTCACAAAATTGATTAAAATGAGTTCAGAACAGTTAAATAATGGTGTATGACAATACTTTAAAAATCTAGCGAAAACTGTCAAATGTTGGAATGTGAAGGCCAGGCTCAACAGCCAAAGTGACTTTTCAAAAGCTGTGGGCTTGTGTCTTCTGTAAGAAATGTACCAGAACTGTGTATATGCTGCATCGCTGAAAAATTAGTTATCTTGGCATTCCCCTGTGTGTGCCCAGATCAGTGCAGAATGTGGGACCACCTACCCAGAAAACGTCAGTTCCACGAAAGTCTTGGGAGAGCAGTGTTTAATTACTGACTCTTCTTCTGACTTCTTGTCACTTGAACAAGTCCAATTATAAAACAAGTCTGCCTATAAAATATGGTGAACTCTCTCAGAGGGTGAATAAGTTATTTTAAAGTTTTCTCTATAAATATCTAGGCTAACTTAAATAGGTGATACTACTGTAGTATCTCTAGTATACTACAGAATCTAGTATACAGTACTACAGATACTGTAGTATCTCTAGTATCTAACTAGAGAAGTGAACTTCAAAGCAGGTTTGCCTTCAACTACTTGCTCAAAAACAACCCATCCAATATTTTTAGTGTGTTATTTTTCCATGTCATCATATGGCTTAGGTGGCCAGGGATTGTTCACTGCTGACATAACTGATTTTCCACAATAGCAAATGAACTTTTCTCTGTTTGCTTTGAATTTAAGGTACTTATAGTCACATAGAATCATTTAGCAATTTACAAATTGTTCTTAAGTAGAAAAATTCCAACCTTCTTTCCAGGAAGAGTATGGCGTGTATATATATGCCAGTTGTTGCTGTATAATGTTTGTTGTGAAAACATGATAGGTATGTAGCTTGGTTGCAAACAAAAAGCCTAGTCTTTTCCTCCCCTACCACCTCTAAGGAAGAATAAGAAGTCTCATGCACTGATTTAATGTAATGTTAATGCTGGGATTCTGGTCTAAGAAGTTTTAAAGCCAGAGGAGATTGAAGCATTTTGGGAAAGAAACAATGTCTGAACTTGTCAAATGAATATGTGGAAGGGAATGAGTTGGGATGGATGTCAATCTGGAGCATACCAGCATGTTCGTGAAATCGTTGGTGCTCATCTCTCCAACATCTTGAGGTTTGATTCCAAAAGAAACCGGGCTTGTGCAACTGCACTGTCTGGTACCAGGGAGGGAAGTGCAGCACCAGTGCAGTTTTTTGACTGATTTCAGTAGAACTCAACCCAGAAATAGAGGTCTCGGATATTTGCAACCAACAAGAACATAGTACGTTCAGGTTGCACAAAAAGGGAAGGCTCCAGATCCCTTTCCCAGATAGGATCTCCATGGAAAGAGACTTCAGTGAAATGCCTTTCAGGCATTGGAAATCTATGCAGAAACTAAAACTTGAGACAAATCCATAGCAACACAAGTTTCACTAGTCTGGCTGCTCACTGCCCTTACTGTTTTGTAAACATGGCTTTCTGTGTAATAAAATGCTCTTCAAAGTCCCTGGAGTAAAAGTTAAGAAATGTCAGCTTTGAAATAGCCTCAGCAAATTTTAATCCAGCTCTTTTGCCATATGCTGTAAGAAGGTCTTTAGTTATGGGAGCAATTACACTCCTGCCCTGCTCCCAAAGGATCTGCCTCATTTGGTGAACAGAAGTACTTAATGAGCAGTGATCAGTTATTTAATATTTTGCTTTCATTGTTGTTCATTGGCACTGGCTTGGGCCTTATTTATTACCAGCCCTTATTAAACACTGCTCCAAAGACACAAATTACTTGTTTTCTCATAAGCTCTTTACTGTGTGACTGGAGTATTTCGAGGATGCTGTTTCAACCCCTGGGAGATGAGGGGCGCCTTATCCTCAGTACCCATATACCACTTCTTACCTGCAAAGCTGCTGCTCAGCTTAAATGGCTGCTTGAGACCCAGACTGTCAAGTGGGACACCCGGGAGATGAGTAGTACTTTTCACTGGCTGCCCTTGAAAATTTAGACAATTGGCTAGCATCGTCCTTTATCTCTGCAGTAGAGGCAGGAGTAAAAGCATTGCTGAGGGTAACATTTGGTAAACTGGCAGCAGCCACCTGCAAATGTGTGTGAATGGAGGGGACTGGGTTAAGTTTCTGAGTTTCAGAGGGCTTGTTCCAGAGCATATGGTTATTGGAGCTTTTTAACAAAAATGTTGGTGGGTTCTTTAATATGAGATGGAAACCTCCTCCTTCTCACTACTGTTTTTAATTTAAATTTTGTTTTTGAGCAAAATCTATCAGTAATCTTTGGTCCAAGATTAAGCCTGGCATTTATAAACTACCCCAAATCAATGCATGTTTCAGTGATACCAATATATCGTATTGCTGATAATCTGAATAAAATGCTTTCTGTAGTGAAACTTGAAATGTCTTTCTTGGGTAAACGTGTTTATTTTATACCACTAGCTTACCAGTGTGCCGCATGTAGCTTAGCTATTTCTACTGTTTCCTGGATCTTTAATTCTATTAACTCCATTCTGTTTGTGAGTGAAGATCCTCTACCCTCCAGAAATCTGTCATTTTTAAGTTTAGATTTGTGATCCGTCTGTGAAGAGGTGGAGACCAGCAGGTCAGGTGGACTTGCAAACTTGGCCCCACCTTGGTTAGAAAGAGGGGCTGCACTGAGAAAGAGGGGAGAGCTGAGCAACCGGGTGGTTATTCAGCGTGACAGAGCACCGTGCCAGTGCCTTGTGTGTATTTGGGCATTATGCCTCTGTGATATTTAACAGAGGGCTCTGCTTTGCCTAAAAGAACAAGAGACCTTGAAACACTGTTTAAATGCCTTCTAATACCTTTGCATCTATGGAGTGTTTAACAGATGCGTTGGCTTTAATTTCCTGGTTAACTTTTAAACCTGCTTACAACATGACTGGTTGGTAAGTTGCAAGGTGCTGTTGTGGTCTGCTAAGTGGTGTTTCAAATGCCATTGACTGGCTTTGAATGCTTTCTTTCCTGCTGATAAACTGTGCGTGTCTTTTTTTTTTTTTTTTTTTTTCCCCTCCTCCTCCCTGTCATAGGTATTTCAGTTATTGCAAAAACTCCAGCCAAATAGCTGTGCTGGCAAAAACCCTAACAAAGGTGCTGTGATGGCAGCTAAAAAGTTTTCCCTCTGGTGTAGATTTAATTCTATTTGAGAAACTGATTTAAACTGAATCAGGCAAAAGAATGCTTTTGAGTGTATAAGCTCTGTTTCCTGTGAGGTTTTGCTGATAGGGTTGCACTAGCAAAACCTTTAAAGTGCACAAAGCCCAAAGCAAGGAAGAACTAACTTGTAGTCCTTAATATGGTGATTTAAAAAAAAAAAAAAGAGAGAAAAGTTGTGTAATCAAAATCTTGACTGAAGAATTTTGAATGTAACGTTTCGTCTTGAAACCAGTTTTTTAGCTTTGTCATGTGATATAGAAAGAGCAGAAGTCTATATCTGAATGGCTTGTCATTTCATAAGGCTTTGCATGTGATTGTGGTTTTTTTTTCCCCTTCTCTCCTTCCCTTTGCAAATAAACAGAGCAATAGAAAAACTGAACGGGTTTCAGCTTGAAAACTATTCCTTGAAAGTTGCATACATCCCTGATGAAATGGCAGCCCAGCAACCTCCGCAACAACATCCCCAGGGAAGACGTGGATTTGGACAGAGGGGTCCTCCAAGGCAAGGGTCACCCGGTGCAACTACAAGGCAGAAGCCACAGTCAGACGTTCCTCTACGGATGCTGGTTCCCACGCAGTTCGTAGGAGCCATTATTGGGAAAGAAGGAGCGACAATCAGAAACATTACAAAGCAGACACAGTCCAAGTAAGTTATTTTACAAAACTGTAATTCTAAGCTTGTGTCTTCATCTCTCATGTAAAAAGAAACTTGTAAAACTTCACAACTAACCTGTGTGGTCAGAGAGCAAACAAAGACAACGGTGAACAGGAAATCTTTTGCAAGACTTATTTAAGGACTGGATTCTGTCCTTGACACATGTTCAAATACTAGCTGACTTTTTTCATTTTTTTTAAAAAGGGAGAAACTAGGCAGTGCTAGTAGGATGGTACTTGATGCCAGAGAGTTTGCTTACAGATGTACTAATAAGGTTCTGACACAAAAAACGAAACTGAAAAAGCTGTAATATGTTGGTTTGTGGGACATAGCGTCAGTGTGGTGACATATCCAAGTCTTTAAGTGTTTATTCTATCTTCAGTTTAATTTAGGGCATTCTTAGGATTTATAAGTGTTTTCAGTTCAAGGGAGGAGTGGGGGGCAAGGAAGAAAAAATAACCTTCCTATCTCTCCTCACTACTCCTTGCACCTCACCCCCATGTGTTTCTGGTGAATACATTTGTTGCTATCGAGTTGCAGACCACACCAAAACACAGATTAAGGAAATGTACGGGAGGCAAAAAGCAAGCTGCTAAGTGACCTAAGCAGCTTAGAGCACTAGGATCTGGAGATGCTGCAAGAGATTGTTTTCAGTGCGTGTTAAATCCCTACCCACAAGGAAGAGCTCAGTGCAGATGCAGAGGGAGGTGGGGATCGTATTCAAAGTATTCTTCCAGGATACCCCTACAAATGGAGAGTGAAAGATGCTGTCTTCAGCAGTACACTGGTATGAGCCCCCAGCTCTGTAGTTACAGCAGGCAGGACCGGTATGTGAGCTGTATGTGAGGGGTGTGAGGGTGGGTGGCTTCAGTTTTGAGAGTAGCTAATGAGGATAAGGGAATCCTCTCTAATTACACCCCCCACCCCCCACAAACAAACAGGCTCCCCCTCCCTGCTCAAACCCAGGATTATCATGATGCTCCTTTCAACCTCTCATTAGCATGCTGTAACCCAGGTGACTATTTGCTGTGTTTAACAACACAGATTTAAGAGATTTGTGGTGTCCTGACAAGACTTGGTTGTAGTTTGCCTATGGGCAACCGATTTTTTAGGTGATATCTAAAGTGTCTAATTCTCGGACTAAAAAAATCCTGGAAGATTGGCATAAGGAAAGCTTTTATCTGTTAAAAGAAGGCTGGATAGAGCAGAAATAATCACAGGTTGCTAACTTTACAGATACATGACTTCAAGAATGGTCTTTACATTGTCTTGGGGATAAAAAAAGAAATGTCATCTACTTCCAGTTGTACCAAGGATTGCCATGGGCTTATTAAAAAATGTTGCATCGTGGAACAAAAGGAATTTTCAATATCGGAAAGAACAGGAAAAATAAAGGGGTTTATTGAAAAGCAGCATGGTTGGTGGTTAAGTCTGGAAATAGCTATGATTTAGGGGAGAGGGGAGGAAGCATAAAGCAGAGGTGGAAAGAGTATGTGACCTGCAGTTACTGGCAGAGGACAAATAATATCCAAGGCATTGTCTTGATGAGGGTCATAATTGGTTTTTGTTAAATTCCTAGGGCTACACAAACCATAGTGTAGACTAAGGCTAGTAGTTTTTAGGTGATAGAGAGTGGAGCTTAGAGAAAAGGTAATGTCAAGAAAAATTTTAGGCTTAAAAAGCATACCAAAGTAATCCTGAGGATGAATGTAAGTACTATGATGCTACTTGCTGGTAGAGAAGTGCTAGGAAGCTCTGCTGCTGAGGTCATTAAAAAAGACAAGGTGGGACAAAACCTGGCTGTACTGTACCTGCACAGTCATCACCAGTGGAGCAACTGGGCTGGTGATAGAGTATTGGGAAAGCTTGATGAAATGTTGTCTTCAGTGGTTTATCAGATTGTCTATCTAACAACTGCCCTGAATATCTTGATGAGAGTTTAATGTGGAAAGGAGATTCCAGTGTCCACAAAGATGGGGTTTAGCTGGTAAAATCAGGATAGGAGGAGCTCTTTATAACACACAAAAAAAATAGTATTTAGGAGATGTTTAACTAGTTGTATACTTTGCAAAATTACACCACTTAAATGTAGTCAGTGTTAGCTCAAAATAAATTAGTTTTATGAGAGTTGAAAATATGCAAGGCTTACCATACAGTACATGGTTACAGGTACTGTTTTCCTTTCTTTCAAGAATTGATATTCATCGTAAAGAGAATGCGGGTGCTGCTGAGAAACCAATTACCATCCACTCAACTCCTGAAGGCTGCTCAACGGCTTGTAAAATTATTATGGAGATCATGCAAAAGGAAGCTCAAGATACTAAATTGTGAGTAAAAGGCATTTCATTGTGGAGGCATTAAAAATTGAGTTCTTGTTGACTCCATTTAAAGATGTAGTCTTTAAGAACTGTTAATGAGTGAATCTGTTAATGAGTGTTGCCATTATCTGTATTTAAGTAGGTAAAGGAACTAAGACTTTTTTGCATTCAGGACAGTCTACTTGCTTAATTAGCCCCAGCACACATCTACATTTTCAGCCATTGTCTGGCTGTGATTGAGGTGAATGGGAGCAAATACTGAAGTTTCTTGAGCAACTAACAGCTTTTAATCGGAGTGAGCATAACAAGTTGTGAGCTCCCACTAAAAGATTAAAGGTATATTTCTTCCTTCCCAACAGCTCTTGCTACTTCAGTCTGACTTTTATTTAGCAGGTATGTTATAATGAAGATATAGATGATAGTGCTGAAATGTGCATTGCACTCGGACTCATTCTGCATCTAGTATAAACATGTGTAAGTGAATGGGAGTTGTAGACATTTCTATGAAAATAAAATTTATCCATAACTTGCATAAAAACTTGCGCTTTGGTCTCCAAAAATCTCACTGGATGTAACCTCCATTACAGTACAGAAGAAATTCCCTTGAAGATATTGGCACATAACAACTTTGTTGGCCGACTTATTGGCAAAGAAGGAAGAAACCTGAAGAAAATTGAACAGGACACAGATACTAAAATAACAATATCTCCGTAAGTTTTCGGTGGCCTAATCTTTTGGTGAGGTGTCTCAAATAGCAGCAGTGCTGCTGAGTTACATTCAGGTACAGAGTTCTTAAAAAATATTATGTGTGTTTTGAAGGCTGAGACAACAGCCTTCAAAAGGCCTGCAGGCCTTTCTATATTGTGGATTAAACTGTTACTTAAACTCAGTCAAGTTTAATGTAAACAGTGATTCTTCATTATAAACTCAGCCTAAAAATAACATAGGCTATGTGGAGCCTGTGTTAGACTGTGTTTTAAGTGTCGGTTGTTTTTAACATATTACACCATACGTAATGACGAGTGTTTTAAACTATAAGCCTGGATCAGTTCTGAGCTATGTGTGAAAATGAGCGAAACTAGTGATGTGTTAGTTTCTGGTGTAGATTAGATTTTTGGACAAGAGGGAAGGAAACAAAGCAAACAAATACTGAAAAGAGTATTTTTAGTAGCAGTTCTGTCCCTCTTGGCCACCAGCAGCCAAACTGGGATACATTGACTAGTCATCTTCAAAGTAATAGCTTTTGGTCTGTGAGTTTGTGAAGGTAACTGAGACCTGTTCAAATTTAGCTGAGATTAAACAGGAGTTTTCTCCTTCACTAGAAATCTGCAAATCACTGATTAGATCAACACCTCTGTAGAAGCTTGGCTGTTAATAGTAGTTTTACCCTGGAGCAAGATCTTCAGAGAACCTCCTGTTCTGAATAACGAATACTCTGGCATGAACTTCCAAGCATTTGAGGGCATCTTGGACTTAGGCTTTAGCCAGAAAGGATGAGAATAAGGCTTACAGGTTGTAGGAAAGGGAGAAAGTTTGGAAGACACATGAAGATGTATGAAGAGGTGTGAATACGTGCAGGAGACCAAAAAAAAAAAAAAGTGTACTGCAGAAAATAGCTCAAACGAAGGGAAGAAACCTACAACTGAGTGAGGTTCCTCAAAAAGAGGAAATTAAAAATTGTATGAAAGAACCTGAGACCTTCCTGAAGGTATGTAAATATTTATGAACTAGTCTGAGGAAAAGAAGTGAATCAATTGGAGAAAAAGCACCCAAATTAAGTGTCTTTCAAGAATAGATTTTGTAAGGCCAGCATGCTCTCTTAAATGTGTTGGCATAAACATTTTGTTTGCAAACAGTACACAGACTGTTAATGCTATTTCTTAAAGAAAAAAAAATATGTACAGGGTAAATGGGATAATGGTTTCCATTCCATGAAACCAACTTGTCTTTATTGAAGATGACACAAATAACACATTGCCTGTAAACACTTGCAGAGTATTTTTTAATTTAGCAAGTTAATGGTTTATTTGTATTAAAATCTTGGCCTCAAGATTATACTTGCCATGCTATGGCTGAAATAGCCCCATGAAGTCGCCCGGTTTAATTGGTACATAAAAGAGAGCATGTATGTCCATTGATTCTGCTTTGTCTAATTAGTCTTTCTCCTGATCTCTTCATTTAGGCTTTTGGGTAAGCTTGTCCATAAAGTTAAAGTAAGGCAGCCGGTTTGGGAAAGTGTTTCCTCTCTTCTTTGGGGTGTTCTCCACCACTTTCCTTCCTGAGGCAGTAACTCAGTGCTCGCACACTGGAAACTTAAGGATTGCTTTGTGGATGCATTTCCTGCTTGTTGCTGCTTAAGTGAGATGCGCAGGTTGCCACGCTGCCTGCTGTGCAAGAAAGCAAGCCTTGCATGCTTCCTCCTCTCTCCTTCCTGCCATGGGCTTCTTCACCCCCCTCCTGCATCCTGCTCAGACTTTTTTTTTTTTTGTCTTCACCCCTTCAACTCACCTTTTCTCAGTACATGGATATGTCATGGCTTCCCAGTCCGTTTCTTCCATTTTACCATAGTAGGTCAGCATTTGTTACCTAACAAAGCACTAGTTTAATGCTGTAACCCTTCCATTTTCCCTGAGGAGTTACTAGTGCTTCGCAGCAAATGTTGACTTGCACACAGCTTTTGGTTTTTCTGTTATGAGGATTTGGAGGCTCTTCTGCAGTTTCACTGAGGGTTGGGCTTTTTTCCCCTCTTTCCTTAAGGAATCCACTATTCTTCTCAAGGAAATAAAGTTTCTTATGGTCTGTGTTTCCAAGATGTCTAAAATGCCTGAAGCCCTCTCTCTGTTGGTAGGGCTGGTGTGGAGTGTGAAGCTGAACGGTGCTGCACCGCTCTGCAGCTCATGTTCCTATAGCGTGTGATGGTTTCCATCGTGTGTTGCACCTAAGCACATCTCAACCATCTGATGCCAAATCTCGCTGCGGTGGTTTTTCTTGCGTTTGCTGTGAGGACAGAGTTTCTCCAGATTCTCTGAGAACTGTGTTTGAGCCCTGTTATGAATTGATACTACGCTCTTTGGAGGGCAAACTCGAGACGCTCGGATGTCATCGCACTCGAATGATAAACCTAGATTACCCTCTGTTGTTTGCTAATTAACTATGCTTCTGTTTCATTTGCAGATTGCAGGACTTGACACTCTATAATCCGGAAAGGACCATTACAGTTAAAGGCAGTATTGAAACTTGTGCCAAGGCTGAGGAAGAAATTATGAAGAAAATCAGGGAGTCCTATGAAAATGATATTGCTGCTATGAATGTGAGTTGTCCTGTGGCATGGGCCCTTTCTGGAACTACAATCACGGAAAGATTTAGGTGTGAGGGACCTCTGGAGGGCACCTGGCCCAGCTTGGGGGTGTGGGGGGTGTGTGCTTGATATAGGGCCTGGTTCAAAGTTAAATGAGGTTGTGTAGGGACTTGTCCCCTCTTGAACATCATCATGGGAAGAAAGTCCACAGTCTCTCTGGGCAGCCTGTGCCCTGTCTCACTGTTCTCATGGTGAAAATTTCTTTCCTAATATCACGTCAGAATTTCCCTGTTGCAACCTCTCTCTGTTGCCTCTTGTATTAAGTCGTGGGGCTTGGGTGAGGTTTTTTATTATTTATTTGTGTACATATGCTATTTTAACAAAGGCTTTTTCTGGTTTGTTTTGAGCAGTGGAACTGAGAAATTGATTTCGATTGAGGAAATGAATGAGCATTTCACTTTTTTTTCCTTGTTGCAAAAACGTAAAGGAATGTGGTTTATGTGCTCTAGTTTGTATATGTTTCTTAAAGTAGTGATTCCCCGCCTCTTCATGTTAAAAGCATAATGACATATGGAAGAAGGATCTCTCCTGCTTTCAATTATTTAATTTAAGAAGGCTTTATTAAGGTTTTTCTTGATATAGATGATAAAGGCATTTAGTTATTCAAAGATGATTGGTGATTATATAATAAAAACAACACACCTCATTAGTTTGCCAAAGTATTACTAATGCATATTGAGAAATGATTGAGATTTTTGATAAGCTATGAAGAGCTTTTTGTGTGTGTATCCAAATCTTATTGTCTAGAATCAGACTGGAAATATTTTTTCAGTTTACAGTAGTCTCTCTGATTTTCGAGAAATGGCTGTTCTTCATGGTTTTCCTACCAGCTGGAGAGAATATTCTCCCTGCTTTTCCCCTCCCTCCCATACTATAAGCAAACTGCAGGACACAAACTACACATGAGGACACAATTAAATATTTTATAGTTGTACGTTTTTGCTTCATATAGTGAGCAGGAACATGGGGTGAGCTTGCGGCTGCTCTGCTGTTTGGCAAAAGTGTGGTAAGCAGAAAACTACCTCTACTGGATGGATTTCAGGTTTAGTTTGTAGTGATTATTAGGGTAGCTTTTTAGTTGGTGAAGTTTTGGGGTTTTTTTTGGTGTCTCATGATTGGCTGATCTTGATGGCCTGAGATGGTGTCTGTCTCTAGCTGAGGTATTTCTAAAGCACGGTTGTATTACTGGGCAATAATCTAGAAAAGTGAAAAATGGTATTGACAAGTTCTGTGTCACGGACAAGAAATGTTTTCTACCACATGATGCTGCCACTGTTCTCAGGTGTGGTCAAGTAAGGGACATGCAACTTTATAGTTGATGCTTTGCCAGCAAATGCTGGGGATATCTTCATCTTTTGCAAGGCATGGGAGGGAAAGGATATGGGAAGGAAGACAGGATTATAGCGTGGCTACACCCACCGTGTACAAAAAGTCAGGGCTTGTGCATGGGCTTTCTCTGTTTCTACAGGGCTGTCTTTTTAGTATAAAGCCAAAATTATTGTTTTATTTCTCTGATAAGTATGTTCACTCTGAAAGCAAATTGTACTATTGCCTGAATTTCTTTTTATAAAGTTTGTCATATGTTTCACTGATTAAGTTGCAGCAAGTGATTCCCAGCTGCCTTTCCTACTATGTGTTTTTAATGTTGTTGGTCTGTGCATATGTCTGGGAAATAGGTTTGAAGCAGAGTCCTTGGGGTAATGGAGATGAAAAATTTTTTTCAAAATAACATTGACATCTTCTCAAAAGGTTAATAGCCTATGCCAACTAGGATTTTGATTGAAGTTAATAACCAGGATTGTAAATCTTAACTCTTTTGCCATTGCAGCTTCAAGCACATTTAATTCCTGGATTAAATCTGAATGCCTTGGGTCTGTTCCCACCTTCTTCTTCAGGAATACCACCTCCCGCAGTGAGTGTTGCCTCCGCTGCTGCTGCTGCTTCATATCCACCATTCGGGGTAAGGGAAGTCTCTGATTTTTGGATGGTTAGTGGATGGTGATATTAATCTGTACAATGCTGCTGTTCAAAACTGATCAGTTTGCTGTATTTTTGTCAAATTATCTCAAAGATCTGGGGATGGTGTGGTAGTAGTTGTGGTTTGTCAGTTTTCTAGATGGCATCTGTCTTCCTGCTTGCATACTGAAAATATTTAATGTGGCTGCAGTTGGGAGTAGGCATTCATTGGTCATTTAGTGAAATGCTCAGTGAAACCAGAAAATGGTGTTTCTTAGAAAAGTGTTAGATCCTATTTCCTAGAGAACTTGAATTATTACATAAAGCAATCTCATATATAAAATGGAATTTTAAAATTGCTGGAATTTGCAATTAATGATGCTAGTCTGCAATTGTATTCCTGTTGATACGGAAGGAAAAAAAAATGATCTCTTGTCATAAAGCGGGGATCTATATGTAGCTAAAATGTTTGTTTGAATATAGTAGCTTTATAAATGTACAAGCCCTGTTGAAATGCAGTCTTGCTAAATATATAGGATTTAAATTACATGGATTAATCTCCAGAAACCTGTGATTTACCTGCCACATTGCTCTCTAAGAAATGTCTGAAAAAGTTCAATAGAATCTTATTCAAATTCAGTGCTGATATAAGTAATCATAAATGAGGTCTTTTGATATGGAGCAGAAATAATTTGTTGTATCAGAAAGCTCTAGAGTCTTTATGGAAAGAGATGGTTCTCTGCTAGTCAAGAAAGGATAACTTCATTACACAGAGAAGCTGATTTTTCCATCTCTTCCCTCTTTCTGGTGGTGATTGTTGTTAGCAACTCAATGGAAGATGAATTTTCAAAATGAACTCTAACAAGTGGATGACAGAGCTTTACAAACTCTGACGTGGTTGACTTTGCTCTCTTCTTTGCTCAACAGTAACATCTAGAGAGCTACGTCTGAGACTTTTTCATAAGCTAGAAAAGTGAAAACGCAGCCCTGCACACTGAACTTTATCAAATAACTTAAGTGGGTCTATATATATTGCACTACAGGGAAGTTGTTGCCTAAATATTTTTCCCAGAGGAAGAAGCCAAGAAAATGTCACTGCAAGGAACAGGAAAAATTCCACACTCATAGCATTGTTTGTGGGAATGAACAGCTTGGGTGTTATGAATGTATTATAAACTATATTGAGTATAATAGTAGCTTTATCAGGAAAAAGTGCTCCAATGAAAACTACAATGGAAATATGTTTATACTTGGTTATTTTACTGCTAATAGCAGTGCCTCTATTTATGACAAAAAAATCCTCTCCCTCTGCCAGCCCCTCTGCACTTTGATTAGAGTGGCAGACTAAACTAAAAAAAAAAAAAAAACCAAAACAAAAAAAAAAAACCAACAAAAAAACCCACCACCAAACAAAAAGAACCCCCAAAACCCCAACAGGTTTCTGCTTCATTGTATTGTATAAAATGCCATCTGTGGTAATGGATTGCCTCAATTTATTTCTTCTTTTTTAAGAGAAACTAGAGGTGATTTGTTAACAGTATATAACTTTATTTAGTTGTAATGAGAAGTGTAGCTTTTTCTTTCTTTTTTACTCCAGATTTGCAAACTGCTTTGCTATTCTTGAGATTCATACTATAAGCCTACAGTTCTTCTCCTCACTTAGTTTATTTTCATTTCTTTCCCATGTCTTCCTTTTGTTGTGGTTCTTTCTTGCTTTTGCTTTAAATATGCACCTCAATGGCGTTAAATTTGGTGATATCAATCTTATTCCTGTCTGTCTGTCTGTTGCTAGTGTGCCTTTATCCCCCCCCAGATGCACCTTTTTTGGCCTGCTAGGATCTCTGGCAGTTTCCAGATTTCTGGAAATAGGATAGTGGCAAAATCTGGAAAAAAGGCATCAAGAAACAAGTGTCATCGTGTAAAAGTGTAGAAATTCTGCAGCTGGAAGGACCACGCTGTCTGAACTCTCTCTTGCTCCTGTTCATGCTGTTTGCTCAGTTCTCTGAATAAGCTCTTGTTCCAGATAGTCTAGATGTATGACAAGCTAACATGCAAAAAGAAAGGATAAACTCATAGATTTGGAGGATAAACACTGGCTTTTGTGGAGGTTGGGAGTGGTACCAAGACAGCTTCTGAACCTGATACTTAAGGGCTTCTGAAACAAATGCATGAAGAATTGAAACGATCTCACCTTTTCTTACTTACATGCGACCTTATCTGGAAAAGAAGAGGTGGTTCTGTGGGCCTCAGGCAAGTCAGCCCCTCAGATTACTTGGAGTAGCTGTTCCTCTCTGGGGAGAGGAAAGCAAGGAAAAGTATGAGTTTATCTTTTAATGGAAGCAGTTTTCCAGAAAACAAAGTTTCCATTTTTCTTTTTTTTTTTACTTTATTGGACAAAGACTTTTAAACCTTGTTTGTGTATGTTTTTGTTTCTGTAATTTCTGAGTTTTACTCCTCTCCTCGTTTTTTTTCTTTTCTCTAGTAGAACAATTTCTAAGACACTGATCAAATAGGGTATTAGGGCATGTAGAAGTAGAAAGAGCAAAAGAAAAGGGCTGGCTGTATTTTGCAGAAGAAATGGAGACAATTTGAAAGGCTAAAGGTAACCAGAGAGGGGGATTTAGGAGAGTTCATAAGGGATTTAAAAAATAAAATAGAAATCTGAGTAAGAGGCTTCAGGAAAGAAGGTCTTAGAAGAAGTATTAATGAAGAAATCACAGGGACACTTTATGTCCATTTACTTATGAGCTATTAGTTACCAAGTTCCTTGTTTTGGCAAAAGCATTTGGGCAACCCAGGTCCCCTTCGCTTGCTTTGAGTGGATGTCCTTGTACGCTTGGCAGCACTGGCTAGCTGGCATTGAGGATACCCTCTTCAGGCAGCTGAAAATCCTTTCTGAAAACACTGCTGGCATCAGGGTATAAGAAGTATATCCTGCTGCTGTCTTGCTTATTTTTTGTTAGTGCAAACTTTGCATTCTGCTCAGGGCTGGACATAGGTAGCTCTGTCTTCTGTTTGACTGAGCAAAGGTGTGTTCCTCAGCAGTTTCAGCTACACCATCATCAGGTGCCTCCTAGCATCTAATGTCATTGAAATCCTTTTGTGAGTGTGTGCTTAGAAACCATATAGTGAGCCTTGGGACCCCACTATGATGTGCCTGAGGGTTATGAAGCTTTTGTTTGAATATCTTTGAATGTATGGCCCCTTTCTTCACCTTGTTGTGGGGATGGACTCACAAATGGCTTTCCCTTGGGTCAGAAGAAGTAGGTGGGTGAACTTTTCGGCATTTGTAGAAGGGTTTCCATATGGAGCTGATCCTTCATATGCACTATTTTCTAATGACAAGGTGTTGCTGTGACCTTGTGTAGGACTTGCTACCAAAGAAATTGAGGTGGCATCTTAATTATTGAAACAAGTGTCTGTCACATTCCTGATGCTGCTTTTTTATATGGGTGGAAAGAGGAAAAATCTGCATAGTAAACAGATCTAGGATTTTGTTACATTGCCAAAGCTTAAAGTGACAGGTCTGAACGCCTGTATATACAGCCATGGCCAAGTATTCCTAAAACTGAGTATTCAGGAGCTTGGGACTGAGTAATTAGATAGGTTTAGCTGTGTTAACGTGAGCTATGTGATGCTTCATCCTCTCCCTCTTCATGCAAAACTTTAAGACATATTTGACAAGAGTGCAAACACAGTTCTCCAGCTGCTTCAGGAATAGTCCAGTCTCACAACTTTTAAGAGATGGCGATGCTACCAAACACTGGTTTGCGTTTAGCTCCTTGGACTGGTTCACATTCAGGAGAACAATTTCCACGTGACTGAGATACCTCATTCTCTACGGTCCATCTCCACAAGGGTTCACACTGGTGTGTAACACCAAAGTCTTAGTGCATAGAGGCTCATCTAATTTAATCTAATGAGATGCAGTTTCTGTGTCACTAAAAATCTGGTTGTTGCTTTATCCTTTGTCCCGGCAGTAGAGTCCATACAGGAAGACACAGGCTGTCCTTGGTACCTGTCTGTTTACAGGCGCAAACGCGCATGTGTGTGCACATGTCCACTGCACGTGGCTAAGTGTCCAAGCACCACATCTAGTGCAGGCTAACTATTCTTTTTTTTTATATTTACCTATCACTAGCAACAATTCTTGGTATTGTAACTGTGTAATTTATTTCCAAAGTCCAAGCTCTGTTTAACTGTTTAAAGCACTCATTTTGTGTAGTCGTTTAAAAGGGATGCAATGCAATTGAGTAGTGTGTCTTGATTCATGAATTTTCCTGTCTCTTTTTGCAAGAATCCAAGATCTGTATATTTTTCTCTGGCCTCCTAAAAGACAAGTAAATTGGAACATGTGGGAATCATTGAAATGTTTTAAGGTTTGAGGAAAAAGTAGGACTTAAGAAATTTCTCTGTTAAGAATATTAGGAGTTAAAAATTCCGTTTACTGTCAAATGGTCATGATTTTACTCTTATGATCCTGGTGATATGATAAAACCAATGGTTTGGGGTTTTTTTGATGAATGTGTGCCCTTGTGTGACCATACAAGGATCGGTAGCCTTTCTGTGCCTATTTGTAGCTGATGTCTTGTCCAACTGCTTTTGGGCCTGGAGAACCACCACTTTCTGTTTACCCTTAAATCTTTCTCCTTAACTCTGCTCTTAAATGCTTGTGTGTGTTGCAGTTCTGACACAATTGCAAATAGTTTTGTTAGTCTGCCCACTGTGACTCATAAGGAATGCTGTGAGCTGAGCACCTGCACAAAGAATTGGAATTTGTATGAGGAGGAGAGTAAGATTCTGCAAAAGTGAATAAGCCCCGTGCTTATGTTTTCCAGAAGATATGTTGCCGCAAAAAATGTTTGAGAAAGTATCCCAGCCAGACTGCTTCAGATGTAGTGTTGTACTGCTCAAAGCTGTTTTGATGAAGTTGTTGCTTCTGTCTTCTGAACTTTGGGGAGAATATGCACATATGTGTCTCTCAAGAACACAAGTTTGTTCTCA